CTGCACTAATGCAGATGTACCTAATGTGTTAATAATAATAATAATAATAATAATAATAATAATAAAAAACTCCTTATACATGGTTGGTTGACTTAAAAGTGCCTCGGACCTCATCAAAGTGAACATTCCTTTTAAGTGCAGTTCACTTGTCTGTGACAGGAGCCCAACATGACTGTACCCCGGACACACCCGTCACAAAGGTAACAAGAACCTGATATACCTGATATAATCCAATACCTGATATAATCCAAACCCAATACCTGATATAATCTTTCTTGGAGCCTTCGACCTGACCAGTCTAAGATGGAGCATAGCAAATAATAATATTATGCCAGGAAATCTATCGGCAGATAATAACTAGCGCCAGGTTAGAGGACTACTTAGATTCAGTAGCAAATTTTCGCTCAACCAGCAGTTAACAGAACTAGGACCGAAAATATTCTAGATCTGGTCTTAACAAACAATAAAGAAATAATCAGGGACATTATAGTCTCAAACACCACATATTCAGATCACAAGTGCAGACTAACATCAGTACTCGCAATGAGTCTACAAAAAAGTATCAAGCGAGATAGCTTATTCAATAAATTCAATTTTAATAATAAAAGGATGAATTAGGAAAAAAATGAACATTGAACTTTCAAACATTCAATGGGAAATTTTTCTAAGTAATAAAAATCTCACGAAAGGCATAGAACAACTGACAGCTGCAGCAGATAGTCTGCCTGAGACATGTTTCTTTGTGGAAAGCCAGAAAGAGCAGCAGTTTAGAAAGAGAACGCAGACTGCTCTACAGAAGAACAAAATAACGGAAATGCTTGAGCAGGCAAGACTATCCCTACCAAAAAGAATAATATAAATAGGAAGACTGAAGAAATAGAACAGAGACTGAAGCAATCATATCAGATTGAAGAACTTCATATAGAACAGAAAGCCATACAAGTGATAAAGAACAGTTCAAAATATACCTTTTATATATGCAAAATGGAACAAAATAAAACTCTAGAAAGTATTGGATCTATACTTACCAGTGAAGGTTCATACACAGCGGACGACAAAGAAAATGGTTAAATTTTGGAGAAATCCAAAAATCAGTAAGAGAACATGTTTAACATCCCAATAAACAGAATGAAAGTGGAAAATCCGAATGGCTTATATATGCATGATATTTATACCTCTGAAAATATAACTGATATCAAAACAAGTTCTGCAGAATTTGAAAAAGAAATTGACAACATGCCCATATACTCAGCCCCGGGTCCAGACTCGTGGAATTTAATATTTATAAAGAAATGGAAAGTGCGCAGGCACTCAGCATAGTGTGGAGGAAGAGCTTGGACACGAGGGAGATACCACAAGTGTTTAAATCAGTCAATATAGCCCCTCTACACAAGGGAGGGAGCAAAGCATTGGCTAAGAACTATAGACCAGTTGCACTAACGTCCCACATAATAAACGTTTTTGAGAGAGTGATCAGGAGTCAGGTCACTAGTTTCATGGAGAACAATGACCTCCATAACCCAGGCCAACATGGATTTCGAGCGGGAAGATCGTGCCTCTCACAGCTACTTGAGCACTACGACAAAATCACTGAGGCATTAGAAGAAAAACAGAATGCAGATGTGGTATACACGGATTTCGCAAAGACATACGATAAATGTGACAATGTGATGATGTTGACCAGACCACACACTAGAAGGTGAAGGGACGACGACGTTTCGGTCCGTCCTGGACCATTCTCAAGTCGAAACGTCGTCGTCCCTTCACCTTCTAGTGTGTGGTCTGGTCAACATACTTTAGCCACGTTATTGTGACTCATCGCCTGCAATGTGATGATATCTCACACAGCGAGGTCAGTAGGAATAACAGATGAAGTAGGGCGGTGGATATGCTATTTTCTGTCAAAACGAATGCAAAGAGCAACAGTCATCCAAATAAAACTAAGTCCAAGCACAGTTTAGAGCTCTGTACCTCAGCACAATGTTTTTGCACTACTTTACCATATTATCAAATCGGATGTAGACAAAAATCAAATCATCTTCGAAAAGATGACAGCTTCGTGTCATCTTTTCCCGATGACACAAGAATCAGCATCAACATTATTTATGTAAAAGACATTGAAAACTCCAAACTGATATTAATAAAATAATAAAATATTAAAAATAATAAAATAATAATTTTTCAAAGAAAATAATGTTTTTAAGTGATAAATTTCAGGTACTAAGTACGATAAAAATAAGGACCTTAAACATAATACATAGTACAAAACACTATCAAATGTGCCAATAGTAGGAAAACAGCATGTAAAGGATTTGGCAATAATGATGTCTGACGGCCTAACGTTTAGGGAGCATAACCAAGCAAATATTGCGACAGCCAGAAAAATGATCGGATGGATTACGAGAACTTTCAGATCCAGGGATCCCATCACAATGGTTGTACTCTTCAAATCACTTGTACTGTCCCGTCTTGAGTACTGCTCAGTACTCACTTTCCCCTTCAGAGTAGGAGAGATTGGTGAAATAGAGGGAATACAGAGAACATATACGGCACGCATAGACGCGATAAAGCACCTAAATTATTGGGATCGTCTCAAAGCTCTCCGAATGTACTCACTAGAAAGGAAACGAGAAAGGCATCAAATAATAATCTGGAAAATACTGAAGGTTAAGGTCCCTAATCTACACAGTAAAATAACAACGTACTGGAGTGAACGATATGGAAGAAAATGCAGAATAGAACCAGTGAAGAGCAGGGGTGCCATAGGCACAATCAGAGAACACTGTATAAACATCAGAGGTCCGCGGTTGTTCAACGTCCTCCCAGCAAGCATTAGAAATATTGCCGGAACAACCGTGGACATCACGAGAAAACAAAATAGTTTTCTCTAAGGAGTGCCGGACCAATCGGGCTGTGGCGGGTATGTGGTATAACACTACTGTTTTATATCCCCATTTATATCACCATTTATAACATCATTTATAACACCACTTATAACAACCCGCCTGGCTATTATTACGGATACCGCCACCAAGCGTGTTGTTAAGTGTTATGACTAACTTAAGTATACTTAACGCTGCCACCACCTTCCCCATGAGGAGAATTTGTCCTTTACGGTGACCGACGGTGATGGGTACCTGTCACGGGAGAGTTAAAGATGTTAATTACTGTAGGTGGTGGTGGTGGTGGGCACCGTCACTATAGGTGGTGGTGGGCACCATCACTATAGGTGGTGGTGGGCACCGTCACTATAGGTGGTGGTGGGCACCGTCACTACAGGTGGTGGTGGGCACCGTCACTATAGGTGGTGGTGGGCACCGTCACTATAGGTGGTGGTGGGCACCGTCACTACAGGTGGTGGTGGGCACCGTCACTACAGGTGGTGGTGGGCACCGTCACTATAGGTGGTGGTGGGCACCGTCACTATAGGTGGTGGTGGGCACCGTCACTATAGGTGGTGGTGGGCACCGTCACTACAGGTGGTGGTGGGCACCGTCACTACAGGTGGTGGTGGGCACCGTCACTACAGGTGGTGGTGGGCACCGTCACTACAGGTGGTGGTGGGCACCGTCACTACAGGTGGTGGTGGGCACCGTCACTACAGGTGGTGGTGGGCACCGTCACTACAGGTGGTGGTGGGCACCGTCACTACAGGTGGTGGTGGGCACCGTCACTACAGGTGGTGGTGGGCACCGTCACTACAGGTGGTGGTGGGCACCGTCACTACAGGTGGTGGTGGGCACCGTCACTACAGGTGGTGGTGGGCACCGTCACTACAGGTGGTGGTGGGCACCGTCACTACAGGTGGTGGTGGGCACCGTCACTATAGGTGGTGGTGGGCACCGTCACTATAGGTGGTGGTGGGCACCGTCACTACAGGTGGTGGTGGGCACCTATTTTATTTGGGTACCAAGTAATTCTAGAGCACTTCTGATAATTACTGGCGGGAGGAAGATAATTTAATTTATAAAAATAGTAGCCAGCACTTAGGGTATCCACTAGTATAACACTTAGGTATAACCTGCACTATTTGGGCCTGACAACTCTCTATGAACAAATAATCAGGAACAAATTGACACGCCAGATGGATAGTTTAATATTATAAATTTACTGAATTAGTTTCCAATATGAAGATCCTACTCTATCTTCCCTAGTACGGCACTTAGAATTATCAACACTTGTGATGTTATGGAACAATACTCTCTCAAAACACCGGTGATGAACTTGTGTGACGACACCATATCCTCAGTGGTGTCTCTCCCCCCCCCCCCGTTGTGATGCCCGCCACTACCTTGAGGTTACCTTGAGGTGTTTTTGGGGCTTAGCATCCCCCGAGGCCCGGTCGACGACCAGGCCTCCAAACCTGGAGGTTTGACCCAGAGTCCTGTCTGGTTGGAGAACACGGCGCGCGCGCGTGCGCGCGCACGCACGCACGCACACATACACACACACACACACACACACACACACACACACACACACACACACACACACACACACACACTGTCTAACCAAGATCGATTGACTGATGAAGATTAAGCCATCCAAGAAGTGGCACAGGCATGAAGAGCTTGTAAAATCTAACCAACTTTGTCACCAGCTTTGATATCCCGCGATCCCGTCTTTTTTCTCCGTTGGACTAACGGACCTGAAGCTGGAAAAGTCTTGCAAACAGGGATTAGCCCGGCAACCACTTGTGTTACCTACCCAAGGAGAGGGTTATGTGACCTCACCTCCCTGGGACGGTGTGGAAGGTTAGGGCCTCTGCAAGTCTCACTCCAAGTAACCAAAACAACTGCTGCAATAGGCCTGCGGGCCGCTCCAAGCAACAGCCTGTTGGACCAAGCTCTCACAAGTCAAGCGTGGCCCCGGGCCGGGCTTGGGGAGCAGAAGAACTCCCAGAACTCCATCCAGGTACAATCAAGATACAATTCACACACGAATCAACGTCCAGCGGTCACACACCCAGGACCCAGCAGCTCCAGGTCCCTCGGGTGTCCCTAGCAGCTCCAAGTCCCGCCAGCCAGCGTAGAGCCGGCACGGAGCCAGCGTGGAGCCAGCGTGGAGCCAGCGTGGAGCCGGCACGGAGCCGGCACGGAGCCAGCGTGGAGCCAGCGTGGAGCCAGCGTGGAGCCAGCGTGGGGCCAGCGTGGGGCCAGCGTGGGGAAAGCGTGGGGCCAGCGTGGAGCCAGCGTGGAGCCAGCGTGGAGCCAGCGTGGAGCCAGCGTGGAGCCAGCGTGGGGCCAGCGTGGGGAAAGCGTGGGGCCAGCGTGGAGCCAGCGTGGGGCCAGCGTGGGGCCAGCGTGGGGAAAGCGTGGGGCCAGCGTGGAGCTAGCGTGGGGCCAGCGTGGGGCCGGCGTGGGGCCGGCGTGGGGCCGGCGTGGAGCCGGCGTGGAGCCGGCGTGGAGCCGGCACGGAGCCGGCGCGGAGCCGGCGCGGAGCCGGCGCGGAGCCGGCGCGGAGCCGGCGCGGAGCCGGCGCGGAGCCGGCGCGGAGCCGGCGCGGAGCCGGCGCGGAGCCGGCGCGGGGCCGGCGCGGGGCCGGCGCGGGGCCGGCGCGGGGCCGGCGCGGGGCCGGCGCGGGGCCGGCGCGGGGCCGGCGCGGGGCCGGCGCGGGGCCGGCGCGGAGCCGGCGCGGAGCCGGCGCGGAGCCGGCGCGGAGCCGGCGCGGAGCCGGCGCGGAGCCGGCGCGGAGCCGGCGCGGAGCCGGCGCGGAGCCGGCGCGGAGCCGGCGCGGAGCCGGCGCGGGGCCGGCGCGGAGCCGGCGCGGGGCCGGCGCGGGGCCGGCGCGGGGCCGGCGCGGAGCCAGCGTGGAGCCAGCGTGGAGCCAGCGTGGAGCCAGCGTGGAGCCAGCGCGGAGCCAGCGTGGAGCCAGCGTGGAGCCAGCGTGGAGCCAGCGCGGGGCCAGCGCGGGGCCAGCGCGGGGCCAGCGCGGGGCCAGCGTGGAGCCAGCGTGGAGCCAGCGTGGAGCCAGCGCGGAGCCAGCGTGGAGCCAGCGTGGAGCCAGCGTGGAGCCAGCGTGGAGCCAGCGTGGAGCCAGCGTGGAGCCAGCGTGGAGCCAGCGCGGAGCCAGCGTGGAGCCAGCGTGGAGCCAGCGTGGAGCCAGCGTGGAGCCAGCGTGGAGCCAGCGCGGAGCCAGCGCGGAGCCAGCGTGGAGCCAGCGCGGAGCCAGCGCGGAGCCAGCGCGGAGCCAGCGCGGGGCCAGCGTGGAGCCAGCGCGGAGCCAGCGCGGAGCCAGCGCGGAGCCAGCGCGGAGCCAGCGCGGAGCCAGCGCGGGGCCAGCGCGGGGCCAGCGCGGAGCCAGCGCGGGGCCAGCGTGGAGCCAGCGCGGGGCCAGAGCGGGGCCAGCGCGGAGCCAGCGCGGGGCCAGCGCGGAGCCAGCGCGGAGCCAGCGCGGGGCCAGCGTGGAGCCAGCGCGGGGCCAGCGTGGAGCCAGCGCGGAGCCAGCGCGGAGCCAGCGCGGAGCCAGCGCGGAGCCAGCGTGGAGCCAGCGCGGAGCCAGCGTGGAGCCAGCGTGGAGCCAGCGCGGAGCCAGCGCGGAGCCAGCGCGGAGCCAGCGCGGAGCCAGCGCGGGGCCAGCGTACCGGACCCGTACACACCTACACACAATCTATAATTGAAATCTGTTCAAAAGCGGGCGGCTGCCTATTAATTTCCAGGTGACTGTCAGCTGGGAGACTAAGCCAATCTGTTTTGGGTTTGTTGATCAACAGCGCCCTCTAAGGCACTTGTAAAGGAGGTTAATTTGACAATACATCACAGTCATAATAATTAAGCGGCCATACAGCAGCCGCTTTTGTTGGTAATGCTCAATAAACTAAAGTTATGGAAATGTATAATGATCATTAATTTAGTGTACGGATATCTGTAAAGTTCTGTAGCCACTGTCAGCTCTACCACACACCTGCAACACTGTCAGCTCCACCACACACCAGCACCACTGTCAGCACCACCACTCACACCAGCACCACTGTCAGCTCCACCACACGCACCAGCAACACTGTCAGCTCCACCACACGCACCAGCAACACTGTCAGCTCCACCACACACCAGCAACACTGTCAACACCACCACGCACCAGCAACACTGTCAGCTCCACCACACACCAGCACCACTGTCAGCTCCACCACACACCAGCACCACTGTCAGCTCTACCAAACACCAGCACCACTGTCAGCTCCACCACACACACCAGCAACACTGTCAGCACCACTGTCAGCACCACCACACACCTGCAACACTGTCAGCACCACCACACACCTGCAACACTGTCAGCACCACCACACACCTGCAACACTGTCAGCACCACCACACACCTGCAACACTCAGCTCCACCACACACCTGCAACACTGTGCGCTCCACCACACACCTGCAACACTGTCAGCTCCACCACACACCTGCAACACTGTCAGCTCCACCACACACCTGCAACACTGTCAGCTCCACCACACACCTGCAACACTGTCAGCTCCACCACACACCTGCAACACTGTCAGCTCCACCACACACCTGCAACACTGTCAGCTCCACCACACACCTGCAACACTGTCAGCTCCACCACACACCTGCAACACTGTCAGCTCTACCACACACCAGCAACACTGTCAGCTCCACCACACACCAGCAACACTGTCAGCTCCACCACACACACCAGCAACACTGTCAGCTCCACCACACACCAGCACCACTGTCAGCTCCACCACACACCAGCACCACTGTCAGCTCCACCACACACCAGCACCACTGTCAGCTCCACCACACACACCAGCAACACTGTCAGCACCACCACACACCAGCACCACTGTCAGCTCCACCACACACCAGCAACACTGTCAGCTCCACCACACACCAGCACCACTGTCAACTCCACCACACACACCAGCACCACTGTCAGCTCTACCACACACCAGCACCACTGTCAGCTCCACCACACACCAGCACCACTGTCAGCTCCACCACACACACCAGCAACACTGTCAGCACCACCACACACCAGCACCACTGTCAGCTCCACCACACACACCATCAACACTGTCAGCACCACCACACACCAGCACCACTGTCAGCTCCACCACACACCAGCACCACTGTCAGCTCCACCACACACACCAGCAACACTGTCAGCACCACCACACACCAGCACCACTGTCAGCACCACCACACACCAGCACCACTGTCAGCTCCACCACACACCAGCCCACTGTCAGCTCCACCACACACCAGCACCACTGTCAGCTCCACCACACACACACCTGCACCACTGTCAGCACCACCACACACACCAGCAACACTGTCAGCTCCACCACACACCAGCACACTGTCAGCACCACCACTCACACCAGCACACTGTCAGCTCCACCACACGCACCAGCAACACTGTCAGCTCCACCACACGCACCAGCAACACTGTCAGCTCCACCACACACCAGCACCACTGTCAGCTCTACCACACACCAGCACCACTGTCAGCTCCACCACACACACCAGCAACACTGTCAGCATCACTGTCAGCACCACCACACACCTGCAACACTGTCAGCACCACCACACACCTGCAACACTGTCAGCACCACCACACACCTGCAACACTGTCAGCACCACCACACACCTGCAACACTCAGCTCCACCACACACCTGCAACACTGTGCGCTCCACCACACACCTGCAACACTGTCAGCTCCACCACACACCTGCAACACTGTCAGCTCCACCACACACCTGCAACACTGTCAGCTCCACCACACACCTGCAACACTGTCAGCTCCACCACACACCTGCAACACTGTCAGCTCCACCACACACCTGCAACACTGTCAGCTCCACCACACACCTGCAACACTGTCAGCTCTACCACACACCAGCAACACTGTCAGCTCCACCACACACCAGCAACACTGTCAGCTCCACCACACACACCAGCAACACTGTCAGCTCCACCACACACCAGCAACACTGTCAGCTCTACCACACACCAGCACCACTGTCAGCTCCACCACACACACCAGCAACACTGTCAGCTCCACCACACACCAGCACCACCACACACCAGCACCACTGTCAGCTCCACCACACACCAGCACCACTGTCAGCTCCACCACACACCAGCACCACTGTCAGCTCCACCACACACACCAGCAACACTGTCAGCACCACCACACACCAGCACCACTGTCAGCACCACCACACACCAGCACCACTGTCAGCTCCACCACACACACCAGCAACACTGTCAGCACCACCACACACCAGCACCACTGTCAGCTCCACCACACACCAGCAACACTGTCAGCTCCACCACACACCAGCACCACTGTCAACTCCACCACACACACCAGCACCACTGTCAGCTCTACCACACACCAGCACCACTGTCAGCTCCACCACACACCAGCACCACTGTCAGCTCCACCACACACCAGCACCACTGTCAGCTCCACCACACACCAGCACCACTGTCAGCTCCACCACACACACCAGCAACACTGTCAGCACCACCACACACCAGCACCACTGTCAGCTCCACCACACACACCAGCAACACTGTCAGCTCCACCACACACCTGCAACACTGTCAGCTCCACCACCACACACCAGCAACACTGTCAGCTCCACCACACACCAGCAACACTGTCAGCTCCACCACACACCTGCAACACTGTCAGCTCCACCACACACCTGCATCACTGTCAGCTCCACCACACACCTGCAACACTGTCAGCTCCACCACACACCTGCAACACTGTCAGCTCCACCACACACACCAGCAACACTGTCAGCTCCACCACACACCTGCAACACTGTCAGCTCCACCACACACCAGCAACACTGTGAGCTCCACCACACACACCAGCAACACTGTCAACTCCACCACACACCAGCACCACTGTCAGCTCCACCACACACACCAGCAACACTGTCAGCTCCACCACACACCAGCAACACTGTCAGCTCCACCACACACACCAGCAACACTGTCAGCTCCACCACACACACCAGCACCACTGTCAGCTCCACCACACACAACAGCAACACTGTCAGCACCACCACACACCAGCAACACTGTCAGCTCTACCACACACCAGCACCACTGTCAGCTCCACCACACACCAGCAACACTGTCTGCTCCACCACACACACCAGCAACACTGTCAGCACCACCACACACCAGCAACACTGTCAGCTCCACCACACACCAGCACCACTGTCAGCTCCACCACACACCAGCAACACTGTCAGCTCCACCACACACACCAGCAACACTGTCAGCTCCACCACACACACCAGCAACACTGTCAGCTCCACCACACACACCAGCAACACTGTCAGCTCCACCACACACCAGCACCACTGTCAGCTCCACCACACACCAGCAACACTGTCAGCTCCACCACACACCAGCACCACTGTCAGCTCCACCACACACCAGCACCACTGTCAGCTCCACCACACACCAGCAACACTGTCAGCTCCACCACACACCAGCAACACTGTCAGTTCCACCACACACACCAGCAACACTGTCAGCTCCACCACACACACCAGCAACACTGTCAGCTCCACCACACACACCAGCAACACTGTCAGCTCCACCACACACCAGCAACACTGTCAGCTCCACCACACACACCAGCAACACTGTCAGCTCCACCACACACACCAGCACCACTGTCAGCTCCACCACACACCAGCAACACTGTCAGCTCCACCACACACACCAGCACCACTGTCAGCTCCACCACACACCAGCACCACTGTCAGCTCCACCACACACCAGCACCACTGTCAGCTCCACCACACACCAGCAACACTGTCAGCACCACCACACACCAGCAACACTGTCAGCTCCACCACACACACCAGCACCACTGTCAGCTCCACCACACACCAGCACCACTGTCAGCTCCACCACACACCAGCACCACTGTCAGCTCCACCACACACCAGCAACACAATGTGGCACTAGGCTCACATGTGGCACCAGGCCCACATGTGGCACCTGGCCCACATGTGGCACCAGGCTCACATGTGGCACCAGGCTCACATGTGGCACCTGGCTCACATGTGGCACCAGGCCCACATGTGGCACCTGGCTCACATGTGGCACCAGGCCCACATGTGGCACCTGGCTCACATGTGGCACCTGGCTCACATGTGGCACCTGGCTCACATGTGGCACGTGGCCCACATGTGGCACGTGGCCCACATGTGGCACCTGGCTCACATGTGGCACCTGGCCCACATGTGGCACCTGGCCCACATGTGGCACCTGGCCCACATGTGGCACCTGGCCCACATGTGGCACCTGGCCCACATGTGGCACCAGGCCCACATGTGGCACCTGGCCCACATGTGGCACCAGGCTCACATGTGGCACCTGGTCCACATGTGGCACCTGGCCCACATGTGGCACCAGGCTCACATGTGGCACCTGGCCCACATGTGGCACCTGGCCCACATGTGGCACCTGGCCCACATGTGGCACCTGGCCCACATGTGGCACCTGGCCCACATGTGGCACCTGGCCCACATGTGACTAACTTGGGTCCGTCGCAGCTCCGTTAGTCCCATCAGATTGTTATTAGTGTTCTCATTGTTATTCATCTTCTGATTGTTTTTAATGTTTTGTTATTAATTTTCTGATTTTATTATTCATGTTCTGATAACTTAGTTATTCGTGTTTGATAAATTGACTTTCGTTGTTAATTCTAATAATAAACTGTTGTGGTTTACACAGTAATATTGTTAGAAAAGAAAAAGTCTTTATTAACACTTTCTCTCGGCGTGTATTAAACTCACATTTATCAATGTTAAATTGATAATTTTGCCAATTATCAGAGCAATTGACTGGTGTGACGGAGGTTATAGCACTCTCTGACACCCCTGCGAGCCTCCACCTCTGCTCCCCATTGTTCTGTAATCGGTGAATGCCTATATTATCCAACATGACCAATTACCTAAGTCATTTATTTAACAAAAAAAATGGTCCCCCAAGGCTGACCCTTGCGGCACTCCGCTTGTTGAGTCAGGCTAGTCCGTGGTCTGGTCAACCAGACTGTTAGACGCAGCCTAACGAATGAATCACAGCTCAGTTGATCAGGTTTCCTTCAGGGGTGTTTATCAAGTTTTCTTTTTGAACATCAAAATTAGGCGACTAGTTATGGCTCGTTGTGTTCAGATGGATTGTGTTGAAGAGTCTTGGCCCCACCTTGTTGATAGAGTTCTCTCTCAGCGTACCTATTGCACCTCTGCTTGTCAGTGGGGGTATTTTGCATTTCCTGCCGTGCCTCCTGGTGTCATGTGAGATTTGTTTCCGTGTGCAGATTTCGAACCAGTCCTATTATTTTCCAAGCTTAAATTATTATTTATCTCTCCCGTCTGTGCTCTGGAAAATATTGATTAAAAAATTCAAACAGTCCCAATACTTTAGGGATTAATGAGTAGATTCTTGCAGTAAAATATCTTTGCACGTTCTCCAGGTCAGCAGTGTCTCCAGCTCTGAAAGGGACTCTTAGTGTGCCACAGTACTGCACCCTAGAGAGCACTAGGGTCTTAAACACTATCATTTGTCTGGCATATCTTCTTTGAAAGGTTCTTGTTATGCAACCTGTCAATTATTATGCAATTGTGACAGCAACTTTATTCTGTTCTATAAAAGTAAGAGCTTCCATCATGATTACTCCCAAATCTGTTTTTTTCTTTTAGTTTAAAAGCGTGGTTTGAATGCATTTTAAGTGTGGTTTCTGTTTTGATATTTAATTTTTTTCTATAACACAGGAGCTGGAACTTGTCCTCATTAAACATGTTATTTTCTGTGGCTCATTGAAAGACTTGATTAACATCTGATTGGAGGTTTGCCGTGTCCTCTATGTTGTCTACTCTCATGAAAATCCCAGTGTCATCTGCAAAGGATGATACAGTACTATAGGTTGTGTCCTTGTCCGCCTGAGTACACCTCCGTCTATAACGAACACATTTGTATCCTAGTACACATGGATCAATAGTATATCTAGAGTATCCTAGTACACATGGATCTATAGTATATCTAGAGTATCCTAGTACACATGGATCAATAGTATATCTAGAGTATCCTAGTACACATGGATCTATAGTATATCTAGAGTATCCTAGTACACATGGATCAATAGTATATCTAGAGTATCCTAGTACACATGGATCAATAGTATATCTAGAGTATCCTAGTACACATGGATCAATAGTATATCTAGAGTATCCTAGTACACATGGATCAATAGTATATCTAGAGTATCCTAGTACACATGGATCTATAGTATATCTAGAGTATCCTAGTACACATGGATCAATAGTATATCTAGAGTATCCTAGTACACATGGATCAATAGTATATCTAGAGTATCCTAGTACACATGGATCAATAGTATATCTAGAGTATCCTAGTACACATGGATCAATAGTATATCTAGAGTATCCTAGTACACATGGATCAATAGTATATCTAGAGAATCCTAGTACACATGGATCTATAGTATATCTAGAGTATCCTAGTACACATGGATCAATAGTATATCTAGAGTATCCTAGTACACATGGATCAATAGTATATCTAGAGTATCCTAGTACACATGGATCAATAGTATATCTAGAGTATCCTAGTACACATGGATCAATAGTATATCTAGAGTATCCTAGTACACATGGATCAATAGTATATCTAGAGTATCCTAGTACACATGGATCTATAGTATATCTAGAGTATCCTAGTACACATGGATCAATAGTATATCTAGAGTATCCTAGTACACATGGATCAATAGTATATCTAGAGTATCCTAGTACACATGGATCAATAGTATATCTAGAGTATCCTAGTACACATGGATCAATAGTATATCTATAGTATCCTAGTACACATGGATCAATAGTATATCTAGAGTATCCTAGTACACATGGATCAATAGTATATCTAGAGTGCAGACGATGAGTCACAATAACGTGGCTAAAGTGTGTTGACCAGACCACACACTAGAAGTTGAAGGGACAACGACGTTTCGGTCCGCCCTGGACCATTCTCAAGTCGATTCGATTTGAGAATGGTCCAGGACGGACTGAAACGTCGTAGTCCCTTTAACTTGTAGTGTGTGGTCTGGTCAACAAATATATCTAGAGTATCCTAGTACACATGGATCTATAGTATATCTAGAGTATCCTAGTACACATGGATCTATAGTATATCTAGAGTATCCTAGTACACATGGATCTATAGTATATCTAGAGTATCCTAGTACACATGGATCTATAGTATATCTAGAGTATCCTAGTACACATGGATCTATAGTATATCTAGAGTATCTAGTACACATGGATCTATAGTATATCTAGAGTATCCTAGTACACATGGATCTATAGTATATCTAGAGTATCCTAGTACACATGAATACTCAAATGGTCGTTATAATAACGAGCATTTGAGTGTTTCAAGCGTTGTTTAGACATGTATATAAATCAGTTTGGGTTTATATTAGCAGGAGCTGTCTTGTATGGACCAACAACCCTTCTGCAGGTTATCTTGAGATGATTTCGGGACTTAGCGTCCCCGCGGCCCGGTCCTATAGCAGGCCTCCTCTTTTTTTTTACCCCCCCCCCCCCCCAGGAAGCAGCCAGTAGCCGTTGTCTAACTCCCAGGTACCTATTTACTGCTAGATGAATACAACATCAGGGTGAAATAAACTCTAATGGCTTGGAGCAGCGTCAAGTGTTCACTCTGGCAGAGACGTTCACAGGTGTGATGTTCAACAAAGATCACACGAGAACAGCAAGATCACCTTCGCTACTTCTGGAAATATTCTCGGGAAGAATTTATCTAAATTGTCATTGTTGTATTGAACTCCACTAAACGACTACAGACTGTAAATGGTCATAGATGGAAATTGTTCTCATTATCTTCTGATGTTTCTGAGTAGAATGAGTAGAAGCAAAGTAGAAAGTAGAGCTTCATTCTACTTTGCTCTCATGAAGGTGATGTAGCCGAAGACGCGTTAAGCATTCTCTATTTTTCACATGTGGTTTTTAAGCATATTTTTCAATATTTGTTTCTATGAAATGATAAAGCTATCCATTTGTTTCTATGAAATGATAAAGCTATCCATTTGTTTCTATGAAATGATAAAGCTATCCATTTCATTATGTATATGGTAATTTTTTTTTTAAATTTGAGTTAAAACTAACGTAGATATATGACCGAACCTAACCAACCCTACGCCAAAATTATATTTATATATTTCACTGATTTATTTTTATTATTTTTTTTTTGCTGGCTTATTACTAACTTTGATGTAAATAATTTTGACATGAGGCAAATTTTTGATTCATTAGTCCACCATTTATAATTGACATTCACTCGGAGTCCGTCTGGCTATGGTGTATGACAACGTTCTCATACATTAATACAACCACTGATGTATTCCCAATTTGACACGCATCGGAAACCTTCTATGTATGTTGACAAAATGGGCACATCGTAAAAATTGGGCAATTTATTTACCATTAACTTTTGCTTCGTTCATTTTTTTTAGAATAATTTTTTGAGATGGCCAGATAGGATCTCAGCAGCGGCGACCACAGTGAGGCGAGGCTAGCGACCACAGTGAGGCGAGGCCAGCGACCACAGTGAGGCGAGGCCAGCGACCACAGTGAGGCGAGGCTAGCGACCTGAGTGAGGCGAGGCCAGCGACCACAGTGAGGCGAGGCCAGCGACCTGAGTGAGGCGAGGCTAGCGACCACAGTGAGGCGAGGCTAGCGACCTGAGTGAGGCGAGGCCAGCGACCTCAGTGAGGCGAGGCTAGCGACCTGAGTGAGGCGAGGCCAGCGACCACAGTGAGGCGAGGCTAGCGACCACAGTGAGGCGAGGCTAGCGACCACAGTGAGGCGAGGCTAGCGACCTCAGTGAGGCGAGGCTAGCGACCACAGTGAGGCGAGGCCAGCGACCACAGTGAGGCGAGGCTAGCGACCAC